CATAGTCTGTATCAACAAAACCCTGCAGAACTAACTTGCCTCTCTTGAAGCATAAACAATCTTTTATTGTACCTCATATGTACCTCAGAATCCACTTTACTGCTTCCTAGTGCTGCTTTCCTGGATCTGACATGAATCTGCTCACAGCTCTCATTGCATGGGCAATGTCAGGTCTCATGCATACCATGGCGTACATGAGGCTTCCAATGGCTGAAGCATATGGAACCTTAGCCATGTAGTCTTTCTCTTCATCAGTTTTAGGGCACTGCTCCTTAGTCAATTTAAAATGACTAGCTAATGGTGTGCTAACGGCCTTGGCACCACTCATCTCGAATCTCTCAAGCACCCGCCTAATATACTCAGCCTGAGATAGCCGTAGTGTGCCCAAGAGCTTGTCTCTACTGATCTTCATCCCCAATATCTGCTTTGCTGCGCCTAAGTCCTTCATGTCGAACTCACTCGATAACTGTTTCTTCAGCTTCTTAATCTCTCTCATGTCTGAACCGGCTACTAGCATGTCGTCGACATATAAAAGCAGGATAATGTAACTGTTGTCAAACCTCTTGAAGAAACAACGATCAGTATTGCACCTGGAGTAAGCGTTTCTGTGCATAAATCCATCGAACTTTTGTACCATTGCCTTGGAGCTTGTTTCAGGCCATACAAGCTCTTCTTCAATCTGCATACCATCTTCTCCTTGCCCTTCTGAGTGAACCCCTCTGGCTGCTACATATATATATCTCTTCCTCTAGGTCACCGTGGAGGAAAGCTGTCTTTACATCTAGCTGCTCGAGATGTAGATCTTCAGCTGCAACAATGCTCAGAACTGATCTGATGGTAGTCAGTTTGACTACAGGAGAGAAGATCTATGTGTAATCAACTCCTTCTTTCTGCTAAAATCCTTTGACCATCAATCTAGCCTTGTATCTCTTGGAACCATCATGTTCCTCCTTGATTCTGTACACCCATTTGTTGCTCAAAGCCTTGTATCTCTTGGAACCATCATGTTCCTCCTTGATTCTGTACACCCATTTGTTGCTCAAGGCCTTTTTCCCCGTTGGTAGCTTCGCAAGTTCCTTCCTCCTTGATTCTGTACACCCATTTGTTGCTCAAGGCCTTTTTCCCCGTTGGTAGCTTCGCAAGTTCCCATATCTTGTTGGTGTTCAAGGACTTTATTTTATCTTTCATAGCAAGCTCCCACTTACTCGCATCATCCACTCGACGTGCCTCATCATAGTTTTCTAGCTCTCCACCGTCACTCAGTAGTAGGTAGTTAATATGAGCTCTGGGCTGTAGTGATGGATACTTCGGATTGAGCTTGGGGACTCTTGCTAACCGCCTTAACTCTCTAACGGGCAAAACAGGCTCTCCATCTTTATTTGTCCCCTCTGAGGTAGTCTTATCCATCAACTCTTCTTCTGCTTCTTCCTCGTCAGAACTGGCTTCAAGGTTGCCTCCATCTGAGGCATCATTTGACTTGAAGTATGTGGGCTCAGACTGCACCGAACTAGTGGGCTGAGCGACATCACGATCTTTGTAGAGAACTTTTTCATTAAAGATCACATCCCTGCTCCTGATGATTTTCTTGTTCTGCTCATCCCAGAACTTGTAGCCAAACTCATCACCGCCATAGCCAATAAAGAAATATTTCAGGGATTTAGAATCAAGTTTGTTTCTTGCATGATCACTCAGATGAACATATGAAACAAATCCAAATACTCTCAGGTCAGAAAGGTTTATATGCTTTCCACTCCATACTTCTTCAGGTATTTTGTGCTCTAAAGATATTGATGGTCTCCGGTTGATCAAGTAGGCAGTTGTGTTGACTGTTTCTGCCCAGAATTGCTTTGGAAAACATGCTTGTAAACGCATGCTTTTGGCTCTCTCAGTCAATGTTCTGTTCATCCGTTCTGCTATGCCATTCTGCTGGTATGTACCTGGCACTGTCCTCTCCAATCTGATGTCACTGTCATAACAGAACCTCCTGAACTTTGAATCTTCATACTCGCCTCCATTGTCTGATCGAAGCTTCTTGATCTTCAAACCGGTTTCGTTCTCTACCATAGCCTTCCACCTCTTGAAGACTTCAAACACTTCTGATTTGTGTTTCATGAAATAGACCCAAGTCTTCCTCGAGTGATCATCAATGAAGGTCACAAAGTATAACCTTCTACCAGTGGATTGTACCGATACAGGACCCCACACATCTGTGTGAACTAGCTCAAGCTTCTCTTCTTTAGGAGTTCTGCCAATCTTTTTGAAGCTTATTCTCTTTTGTTTCCCAAGGATACAACTTTCACATAAGTCAATGTTAGCCGACCTCAAACCTGGTAACTTCCCATTCGACTGCATAACCTTCAGGCCTTTGTTACTCATGTGACCAAGCCTCTGGTGCCACAAATTTGGGTCTTTCTTACTTTCAGCCACTACAATGGAACCACGTGCATCTGTCATCATGTAGAGGGACCCAGTCTTCGTACCACGGGCTACAACCATGGACCCCTTGGTAACCTTCCACGTATCACATGCAAAAGTTGATACATATCCCTCTTTCGCCAATTGTCCTATGGAAATCAGATTCTTCCTCAAACTAGGAACATGTCTCACATCACTCAGCTTCCATATAGACCCATTGAGTTTGATCTGCACGACTCCTTTGCCAACAATATCACAGGGCTGATCATCACCAAGATAGACTTTTCCTAGGTTTCCTGAAATATAGTTCTCAAATAAATCTCTATTTGAGGTAGCACGAAACGAAGCTCCTGAATCCAGCACCCACGGCTCAGTCTTGCTCTCCAACGAATAGATTAGGGCATCATCTGATTCTCCTGAGGCCATGTTCACTTCAGTCTTGTTCTCCTTGTCCTTCTTGGGTTCTCGGCACCGATTCTCATAGTGGCCAAACTTGCTACAATTCCAGCAGTCAATCTCCTTCTTGCTCTTGCGATTTCTAGACTTTGACCTTCCGTTCCTCGAATTAGGTCTTCCTCGGCTATTCCCTCTATTTCTATTTCTGTTTCTGCCTCTGCTCTCAAAATTCAACGCCGACCCTGAATTAGAAATTCCTTCCTCTTGTCTTATAATCTCCTCAGTCATAATCATGTCCACCACCTCTAAAAACTTCAGTTTTGATTTACCACATGATCCGCTAATAGAAATAACGGTACCCTTCCAACTGTCAGGTAATTGACAAAGTATCAAGAGGGCTTAGATTTCATCATCAAATTGAATATTGACTGAGTTTAGTTGATCCGTGATCTCATTAAACTCGTTCAGATATTCCTTGAATTTCTAGCTCTCGGACATCCTCAAATTAAACAACTTTTTAATGAGATGTACATTATTCGCCACAGAGGGCTGCTCATACATACTGGACAACGCTGCCATGAGATCTGCCGTCGTATTCTGATTCTTGATGTTGAACGCTACTGATTTCAACAAGGTCAACCTGATCGCTCCAAGGGTCTTTCGATCCAATAACTTCCACTCTGCATCCTTCATATCCGCCGGCTTCTCTCTCAATGGTAGGTATAGATCCTTCTGATAGAGGTAATTTTCCATCTGTATCTTCCAGAACCCGAAGTTCGTTCCATCAAACTTCTCAATCTTGGATGTCTCCTTCTCAGATCCCATGTCTCTAACCCCAAATCGCTCGCGCCGAACCTGGCAACTCTGATACCACTTGTTGGGGATGCATAACCCCCATGATGCGATTTGGAAATAGAGATGAGAGAGAAAGAGAATAATCACAATCACAAACACACAAATTTACGTGGTTCGTTTCTCAATGTGAGAAACTACGTCCACGGCCACCGCATGAGAAAATTTCACTATTTTCGTCTTTTTTACATAATGCCCTAATCAATCCTTTTATAGATATAAGGGTATTACAAACAGGAATAGAAAACAGATCAAAAAACAAGCTGGGCCAAAACCCGATCGCCCGTGAAAACGACAGAAGCCCAGGAAAGTCTCAGGACTTTAGGCGGTCGACCGCCGCGCCATGCGCGGTCGATCGCGATGAACTTCTGACCTGTGCACCATTGCTGTGCACGTATGCGGTCGACCGCCGCGTCATGCGCGGTCGACCGTGATCCTGTCAAACTGAGTTCTTCATCGTTTTGCTTGAACTTCATCGTCGTTGACCCGGTTCCTTCAACTTCTTTCGTTTCCTCTTCAATCTGAAGTATAGGACAAGTCTGATAGTTAGGCTTCACATATCCTAACAAGTACACCATAATTTAGATTCTATTTGAGATTATTTGACATCATTACACACTAATGCTACAATCTGAATACTTCCATAGCAACCGCGTAAATAGTAACGCATTCTGCTTAAGTAGCTTACTGTGGACTTCTAAAAATAAAGATACATTGCGTATCCTGTCACAACTTGTCCTACTATCTTAGAAAAATCACTCAAAAAAAAAAGAAAAAAAATGTAAACGGTGGTCTACAGTTATCATATTACATTAACTAAACAACTAAGCTATAGTTGGAAACTGTGATATGTGACATTAATATTTTACGGTATACATTTTAAAACTTACCAGCCAACATCACGTAGATCGACATCAAGTAAAACGAGGTAAATTAATTTTGAATGTCATCGTGCAGCATGACATGTACATTGGATGAGTGAAAGAAAAAGACAGAGTACTTTATAGGGAGCAGCATAGTTTTAGTAAGATAAAGACTCAGGATAAACTACGGATAACACCCCCTACTGCACTGCAGAGAGTATAGAAATAACCTCTCACGTGAAAGATTCTTAATCCGATCCCAAGTTCTGTTGTGAGTGGATACTCCCTTGCAGAAAGAAAATGACAGTTCTACTCAACCGAAAGAAATTATAGGAAAGTGTACTAAATGGAGATAGAACTCATAGGATAGTGGACTAAATGGATATTATCATCTGAATTCAGATAATGTACATTGGACTATAAATAGATTACATTTTGAAAACTGTCATGCTAACTCCAGTTACATCCCTAATCTCTCAACAACAAGTCTTCTATAAATTCTACCACAAGTTAGTTCACAGTTATTCAATTCTCAGGTTGCAGGACACAAACACTCATGTGAGCAACATTTTCTAAACATTTCACTGAAAAAAGCTACAGCACCAATAACCCAAAATAGAGGGGGAAATAAACAATTATGAATCCTATGAAATAGAATTTCTTGCTACAGAAACAAACATTGTAATGCCAACTGCCGTATGAATTAGATCGATAACTTTATAAAAGTATAATTTCAATGGAGAATCAATTGAACAATTTTGCACTCAAAGAATGCCTCTCAATGCCAAAGCTTCATGCAAAATCCAGTAGGCATGGGTGGTGGCCTCTTGCTCCAAATTGCTTCAGAAAATGTATCCACTAACTGCCCTGCAAGACTCCCAGGATCATCAATTAAAGTATCAACATAAACACTAACGATTCTTCTCTCTTGTGGACTTGCTCTCAAGCTGAACCAAGTCAGAAATTTGACCCTAAAGTTTGTCTCAATATACCCTTCACATTCCAATCGTCTAATTACCTTAACACAGTACTCATATTCTCCTTCATTCGACGAAGAACCATCTTTAGTAGTTTTCTTTGATGAACTACCAGGCTCTTTTTCTGGCTTCGAGAGGCCATTGTCAAGGGAGTTACAGCTTGGATTAGGCTTATTAGCTTCCAATCTTGAAGGAGTTACAGGCAAAGTAGATGGAACCATTTCATTTCCAACAGGTGTATTTGATTCATTATCAGACTTAGGTATATTAACATCGGATGTCTGGTCTTTTTGGGCCTCGTGGGTCCTTGGATTTGGATCCTCATCTAAACCTGAACCCGAATTCATCGGTGTCTCTTCTTTCTCAATGCTATTGGATTCATTTCCTTCAGCCGAAGGATTGGATACACCACTAGTATTTGTTTTTGGGCTTTCATTACTTCTATCAGTTGTTGCTACAACTTCCCAATTTCCCAACTCTGTTGTGTTGCTGAAGGCAATCACTCTGAATATATATTCGGTAGCTGGAGAGAGATTGTTTATATGAAATTTTGTCTTAGGGTTACAAATAGTACCAGTGGGCTCTGAAGGATAGTCTTTGCTGTTGGCCTTTCGATGATACAAAGTGTAGCCAAGATGCTCTTGGGGTAATAATGTGTTGTCTTCTGAACCTAGTATCAGTGTTAGAGAAGTTGAGGATACGTCTTCAAATTTGATAAAGCTTGAGTGTGGCACAGGGGATTCTGCATATGAATAGATGAAAGATGAATAAATGTGAGCAACATAAGATCAATAATTTTATAAATATGTTGAGGTTCTACATAAACATATCAAATTAATAGCATTCAGACTCATATTTCAACACATTTAGGCCATGTTTTGTTACTTGGAAAAGTTTTCAAGTTCACAGAGTTCTCCAAACAAATTCAAATTCGGTGTTATTTGGGCCATCAACTTTGCTGTCTTGCACTTTTTAATATGCTGTTTGATTAGCACAAATATCTCTAAAATACTAATTAATTTATAAGTGTTAATATTTGAATGATTTATCATGAGTTGAATAGTCAAACAAACAAATTTAAATTGTCAATACCGCTGATCCATCGAAATTCACTACTTTTTGGTTGGAAGATTAAGCATAAATATTGAAAGGACAGTAGTGGATCTTTTGGCATCTATGAGAGATTTTCAGCCAACCAAACATACATTTTCTAGAATCAGTCCATCATTGAATTAAAGTAGCTGATTCGTACATCTATAACATGATAGTTAATTGCTAAACAAGTAATATGCCTTGACATTTTACAGTTCAATTCACTTCTCAATCAAACAAAGAAAAATTTAAAAAGATCGATTGTTGAACTTTCATAAATAAATATAAAATCTATGAAAATATTTTAAACTGTAACTGCTTGATACTGACATTTCTAAAGCTGTTCCTTCATATTCTTATTAAATTTATATTCAACACCCCAATAAAATTTTCAATTAGAATGGAAATAATTTAATCTTCCACATAACAAAAAAATTATTTTATAAAAATAAATAACTTGGTTTTCAAGTTCACAGACTTCTTTTTTGCATAAATAACTTGGTTTCATGTTCACAACGATAAAGAAGTGAACGTGAAAACTCACTCTTGTATAGCGAACCACTTAAAAATATGGAGTCCCGCAACTCTACAGCACGAGCACAGAGCTTCTGGACTTCAGCACCAACAGAAAGTCTGTTAACAATCCCACGAGCCATATTTGAGAAACCATTTACCGGTCCAACTTCAGACTCTAGTTTCCTCATTGCTGTATCTACAATCTCATGCAAATTTTGGTACTTCCCACTAGACTTGAGAAATCTATGGCTTAAAGAAACCCTTTGGTACAATGTATCAACTCTCCTTGCCTCTTTTGCATACATGAGTTGCTTCCTCCAGCATCTGTAAGAGAAGCAAGAAACAATTGACTTAACATAATTACATGATATATTTTCTTGCAACTATATACCCCAACAGATTATTTAACGGCAGTGAGTACAAAATGAAATGGTAATTCTTTGGTTTGGTGATATTATACATTGATATTGACATCCAACATAGGTATCAAAAATGTCAAGTATGTTATCAATCGTCCAATTTGGGGACCTTCCAAGAGTTTGACAAGGGGGTACAGTGATAACTAGTAGTTATATATGTAAAATGGGCATACAAACTCAATTATCAATATGGCCTTTTAGTCCATTATTTGATTAATATCAATATATAAATGTTATGACAACACAACAAAGTATTGATAACTGAACACATCGACTTTAACTGAACAAGGTATTGTACAACATTGGATACAACAATCACTAGATATAATAAATGTATTGTATTGGATTTATCTATTCATCTGAAACATACTTCGAAAGTTCACATTCATCACTTTTAACAAACTATCACGAACCAACTTCAAAATATATTGTATTTGATTTATCTAGTTATCTGAAACATACTTATAATATTAACAGCGCAAAAATTATCACTTTTAACAAACTATTATCGATCAGCTTCAATACCCTCTGAAGTCGTTAACAGTAAAACTCATTTGTAAGAACATAATACGGGACGTGAAAGGAAAGGAAAACAGAGAGCTCAAGAGAGAGAAAGTCCCTTAGAGAATGGACTGCCCTTGTTGCTGTTGTTGTGAAAGCAAGGAACCAAAACATAAGAAAGTGAGGCAGGTTATGTTCATACTAAAATTTTGACCAGTGAAATAACTGAATTATTGTACTATATTAATATCTTCATGTAATCCATTTACTTAAAGCATAATCTGCTTATGCATTATATGCTACTGGACTGAAGAAGTAAACAAGAACAGTTTTTTACAACATTGATACTGCTACAAAAATTGACCACTTTGATGACTCTCACGCAATGGCCCTTTCATGAGCATAAATAGAACTTCTCACAAAAAAAAAAAAGCTAAATGATTATCTCCTAACCTGTAGTGGGCAAAGTAGAAATTTTAATACCAAACTTTGAAGGGTTAACTAAGACGGGTTATTCATTCAAATGTCAGCAATGTACTTAACAATTACGAACAAGCTGGCCCAGTTCATTATGCTTCGTGTTTAGCAAGGCAATGAGGGTAAAACCTCTTATCTGCTCTTAACCAGTTGCCAGATGATATCGTTCAATTGCTTGATCAAAAGCAGGATAAACTAATAAATGAATAGATATGCGTCTGTGTATCTATATGAATAAATACAAACCATACATCCACGTATTGTGTTAAATAGAGCTTTCACCTGAAACGACAGGTTAGTTCAATAAGAAATCTTATGAATTTGATCCTATTGACATATACAGGGCAAAAACATATATGCATGTAAACAGAGTTCTAACCTTCTCTAAAATTTTACGAGGTTGATCCAATAAGAATACCACTAACAATATGAAAATAAATCTCTATAGACAAAAGAATGCAGTATACCATGGAAAATGCAACTTTCTCAAAGGGTCTTGCTATCCTACTCATAGTCCTCTTTTACTACAGGAGAATATTCGGTATACTGCATATTGTGCCTTGTTACATGAACTTGAACAACATAACCAATAGGTTTTTTTTTTACACGGAATCACCCCTAAATTAGACCTCATTTCAATTATCATCCTTAGTATCGTCTGCGTTTCAAAATACCACCCTATGTGCCATGCTGTCACTATATAACCCCTTAAGTCCACTTCCGTCCAATTTTTCAGTTAATATTAACAATAGGTTAAATATACCCCTTTTTTGCCCAAAAAAAGGAAAAACACTAAAATAGCCTCATTTCACATTACCACCCTTAATTATGCGAGTATCAAAATACTACCTGTATGTGTCATTCAGTCAACATATAATCAACCACCTTGTTTGACTGAATGGCACAAAGGGGTGATATTTTGGAAGTAACTAAGGATGATAACGTGACTGGAGCTTTCCCTGTAAATTATCCTACCCAATAATATAGGTTAGCTTCCTTGACCATATGTCTTCCGGGGCCCACGGCAATGCCCTTTCTTGCTCGTGAGTTCTTCAACCAGGAACCACAATGTTCCATACATACATCTTAAATTTTGGTCAATCTTTATAAATTTTTTTAAATTTATTAGATGAACAAATTTTTTTGGTGAAAGCCATGAAGATGCTTAAAACTGACTCCTTTTAGTAACCAAAAACATCTGCTCAAGGAATCATGACTTTGTGCTATGATGAACATCATGTATCTAGTAAGAATTAGTTGCTTTTCAAAGCTAGAAACAACCATATGCTGAAAGAAAACAGTTGTTATTGGTTAATTTCAAACATGAAACATGACTAGATTCCAGCATTAATTAATCTCTCAAAAACTTGCACCCTTTAATCTATGATTCTATGCACATGTTAATACCAACATATATCAGCAAACAGACATGCATTATAATATGCAATCCTCTGATTTGTGAACAATATGCACAGAATAAGCATCAACTAGGTATGGCAGAAAAACCATGAAATAACCTCCCAAAAATTATCAGCATTGCAATACTTGGTGTGAGTAAGGCTTCGGTAATCCTCATTCCTCATTTACTACTGAGCAACCAGTAAGTCCACTACAGCATCTTACTATAAAGAAACTAGTAAAATAGATACCTCTTTACTGATATGCACCGGTTGCCCCAAAGAAACACAAATGTCCAAGTAAATGATATAGACCACAAATGCGTGCTCAAGGGAAATTCATGCAATCAGTGGCCCAGAGAAATATGATGACACGATATAAGTTGTGCAAGATTTGAAACTAAGACAAACACTGACTTTTATATATCACCATGCAAGGAAATAAACCGAAGGGCAGAGCAACTGGTACTTACGCTAGCAGATCATTCACTTTCTGACAGTGAACACAATAATAACTGCCATCTAGTTGTATGCACTTCCCACTCTTCATAACACCAGCTCGATCATGATTCAGAACACACTCGATGTGGTAAGATATGCCGCAGGAATCACCCTGATATGGATAATCCGAATTGCAAACCAACCAAAGGCTTGGGTCCTTATTCTCATCGTACTTGTAACATATACCACATGCACACCGTTTGCAAAAAGGACTATCTATGCTTAAAGTGGCTTTGCAAACTAAATTTTCACAGAGACGGACATTTCTAGAAGCTTCACCGCCATTATCTACTGAATTATTGCTTGTATCAATTGGGAGACGAGAAGGGTGATCTGTCTTTCTCTGTCTTTTGGAAGGGGGTTGATTGTTGGTTGGAGGCAACTGAGGAATTGGGTCAATGTCTTCAGTAAGTTTTCCAGATTTCTTGTCAGACACAACCTTAAAAAGATGTTCTATTAACTTTTGCTTTGTTACTCCGGTGTACTTTCTCTCCTTTCCCATTTCTGCACAAAGGATTTCTATAAGGTCGCGGCGGCTCCATGTTTGTAGCTTTTCAGGTGCAGTTTCTGGCCATTTAGATAATTCGTGAACCAGTTCCCTCTTCTCGTTCATGCTTAGCTTACAGCATTTGGATGGGTCAAGTACAAATCCTAAAAAAAGAAACCAAGTCAATTTTGAGGAATAATGTAGCATGTCGTAATAATTAAAATAGATTCAAAAGGGCACTCTACCGTGGAAGAGAGTGGAGAAAAGAAAACTCAAAATGTTCCAAATATTTGATTAGCTACATCATAAGCACAAGGAAGACATACGATGCGAAAAATATATTTGTCTGCATCTAAATCAGAAAAAATGTGCTGGAACTGGGATTTTCCTTCTGGTACTGTTATATGTATCTCCATGAAAAATACATGTATCTTGATGAATAACTAACTACTAAATAACACTGATGCATCTTTATAAGCAGACTCAGTGCACATAAAGTCTTAAAATCAGCATATTTAGTAAAAACTGGAAAAGAAACAAGCAAAAGGTCTACCAGGTACAAGTTAAAGAAATCATATGAACAGTTAAACCATATTTCACTTTAAATTAACAAATAGGCAAACTTCATAAAAATTCAGTAGATTAAAAGACCAAGCATAAACTAATCATCCACCTAAGAGTTGACTTTCTTAAACCCAACATGCACCAATTTCTTTATAGTTGCTTAGACCACAACTACAGCTCCAATCCTTGCACCAAATCCATGCACAAATGTTATCGAACATTAATTTCAAACATAATGCATAAACTTATTCAAAAAGAGATAAAACCAGAACTCTAAATTCCTCTCGCAGTAAGAATAAGAAGGGAAAAAACCCAGATTATACAGAAAGAGAATCATCAAACTCTTTCGACTCACAAACAGACCCATTAACCCAGCTAATCAAGTACTGAATAAAGACCTCACAGGATCTTTAAAAATCAAATCTTTTTCACACCCAAGTCGATATTTCCCCCTAAATTCCATCCAATCTAGCAGATCGAGATCAAAAAAGAACATACCCAATAATAGAAAATAAGAAAAGTAGAGAAAACCAAAGAGGCTCACCGGAGAAAGGAGGATCCATAAGCGAGATCTGGTCACCGGCGCGGTCGCATTACCGCTTGCTCAGCAGCCCTGCAAGGCAACCACGCTCATAAGAACAGGGAGGAGAGGGAATTCACCTACCGTTATATATATATGCTTTCAAAAATTATTTTTTAATCATTCCTATTAATTATTATTCATTGAATAAAGATAGAAGAGAGAGAGAGAGAGAAAGAAAGAGGGCACGGACGCCGAGAAAGCAAGGAATCGAGAGGCGACTTCGTCTCTGAGTCCCCCCTCTCTCTCCCCCTTCCTTCTCTGGTCGTTGGGGCTTTTGTTTTTGTAGAGAGGAGGATAATAGCGTAACAGTAAGTTTTTGTAGCGATTTCAATGCAATAAATAAAGAAACTGGTATAAATCAAGACGTAACCAATGGGAGATGGCGAAGGGAAAGGGGCTGATAATCGCACCCTCTGTTAATTTGTAGATGCACCCTTCTGTTAATCCGGGGATGCGCCAGCTCTTTTGGTAAAGCCTTTTTTATGGGGCGGCAGAGGAGATGGAATTCGATCAACTATTTGACTGAAAAAGTGCTGACGGCCTCCGAGCAAAAGTGTTATTTAACTAGATTTTATGAAAAGGATATGTTCACCAACAGGGGCAGGGGTCGATGCTACTTGATGTTCAGATGAGCGTTTCATGTCAAAACTGTACTCCTCTGGTTGGATGTCAACCATACATCTAGGTTTCTGTGTTTTTTATTTGTTAATTAATTATTCTCTCTTAGTTATTTTTAGATTTCACTCTGCACGTTTGCGTCTTTTAACTTCCTACCCATCCTTCGTTCTTCTGTTGATCTCAGCATCGAAGTTTCGTCTCTGTCGGGTGCCCATCGCATGTCATCGATTTTGTTACCACCCAGTCTTCACATCTTTGCCAGCGTTCTATCATTTAATTATAACAACTCACAGGATTTCGACTCTTTTAATTTATATAGACTTGGACATTCTATCATTTTGATATTTATTATCGATCTAACCTCTCTTTTATTTTGTTCACCGTGAGTTTAAGGAGGAACATGAACTGTCACATCTCCCTCTGTCTCTCTCTAGATTTTCCTTCTTTATAGGTTGTCCTTTGAACCTCTTTTCCGTAGGACTTTTTTATAGACATATCATATACTTCTACGTACGAGGAGCATTAGCCCCTCTGATCAACGAATTAAAAGAGACTTCTTTTATCAATGCACTTTGTTATGGGTGTAATCCAGATTTTATAATTGGAGTAGTCACAACTGAATATGCCACGTCAACAAACGACTCGAGCAACAAAGTAATATGCTTATTCGCATGGGACGTCCACGCTAGCATATCTTGACTGTAAGAAGCCTCTCGAAAACTCTCTAGTTAAGCGTGCTTTGATCATAGAAGTAAGAGGATGAGGGGCCTCATAGGAAGTACTCAAGCTTAGCATAAAAAAAGATCAGACCGCGTAAAGTTACTTTAAGGCCTAAGTAATTATCGTGACTGCCTCAGTTTAGGATGGCCAAGAATCTTACTTGGGCATTGGAGAGGGCATCGGTGAGTAGCCCACCATTGTCAATCTCACGATTTCTCTGCATTACACAGACCAAATCAAGACCACATAGTCGTCAATCATCTAAGGAGATCAAAAGGGTTCCTTGCATAAGTCCAATGTGAAACTCAAAGGCCTCGAAGACTGTCAACTTAGTCCATGGGTGTCCATAGGAATGATATGATCTTGCTATCCCACAAATGGTGGAGGATCCTAATAATTAAGTTTTTAGGTTAAAATTGAGGGGTAATATTTTGTAATTATGAAAAAATCAAACCCTCCAAGAGAATTTGGTCGAGGCCCGCTTACTCTCCAACAATCATGAAGTGTCCTGGGAGAGTTATTTGTGTTGTAAGACAAAAAGGATTTAGATCCTTTTCACTATGAAAAAAGTAGTGGGATGACCACTACTAAATCACAACAATTGATCATCTAGTGTATCGTTATGATTTTTTCTTTGAGTGCAAATTACAAATGAGTACAATATACATGAGTACGATGAGTGTTAGATTTAGAATGTATCACAATCACTCATTAGATAATCAATATTAGTTAAAATTAGAAGTAGTGGTGTCCCCACTGCATTTTTGTAGTGGAGAGGGTCCAAATTTCAGACGGAAAACAACGATTTGAGGCAGCAATACTCTTGTTCAATGAGTGAATTACATCACATCTTCTAGTCAAACTGAGTTCTATGGTAAACCTTGCCTTATTGGTTTTGTAAGCTTGTCCTCTTTTTAACATGCAACTACGTGATCTATGTTGCTGGCATTTTGCTCCTTTTGATGACGTCCTTTGGAACTAGAAACTAATGTACGTGTGGCTCCAGTGGAAATATATCTAGGGTTCAAACCTAAAAGAATCCAACGGCCCCGTTTGGCAAAGGGTTAATGAAGAGGGGTTAAAGAGAAGGATTAATGTACTTAGCCCATTTGATAATCCGAAGGACTAAATTATTAACCCGTTAAATAAGTTTTATTTTAGCCCTTATGACCAGTTTTAGTGTTTGGGAATAACAATGATTTTGACTATTTTCTTTACAATTAGAAGGGTTAACTCTTATTCCATCTAAATAGGAGTATTAGTAAACCCCTCATTTTGAGGGGTTAACTCATTTTAACCCCTCTAGAGGGGTTAACTTAACCCTTCTATATTTTTTATGTTTGGCAAATTATGGAGGGTTAACTCACTTTAACCCTTATATAAATTTGTTGTGTTTGGCAGGTTAAGAAGGGGTTAAGTCTCCTTAACCCCTCACTTAACCCTTTGCCAAACGGTACCAACAAGTTTAGATGGATTTTGTAAAATATACGCCAACTGTTTGTTTCGTTGTAGTCTGGAATTAATTTGTAGTCTGACTAATAAAAATTATATATACACGAATGCTATTTATCTTTCGAACAATATAGAAACATGCGAGAGAATAACAAAGAAAGCCATAAGAGAGCAGATGATAGTGCAAGTAGAGGGAGAGAATATAACAAATTAACAATGCTACATTGTGCTAATACAAGCAAAAAAGATAAATTATGCGAGGGGTTACAGCGTAGCAAGTATGTTAAGTCACTATACTAAACTTATTTTAAAGAGAACTGCCATAAACAAATATAAACTAATAACTAATTATAAACTAACTAAGAAAATAGTTAATTGGGGATAAGCCCCCTGTGATATCACTCAATTGCGAGTAGACCTTTTAATTATATTTGTGTGAGTAGGTCTAGTACTGTACTATTTACCCATGTACAAATTCACCTTTTTACTGAATGTTTTCGACTCTATTAGAAGTAAATATCAATTGTGGGTCTATCCTCGCCAGTAGATTTGTAAGGGGTCTATCCGCCTCCTCTTTGAACAATATTATGAGTGAAAAAAAACTCACTCAAAGGGTTTACTTGCATAAATAGAACTAGATTGAGTCTATTCACTGTTGGGTGATACTTTAGAAGTCTATTTGCAATTAACCCTTCAGAAAAGCAACGAAGGATAGAGATGTGTAATAATGTACGTGATACCTGCACTTCCCCTTTTGTGTATATATAATATCTATACCTCTCTTGAGCGTTGATGTCACTTTCTTTCAAGGCGAATAGGAATCAAGAATCATTGATAGCTGAAAATATCTTTTTCCATTACTTCCAATAGGAATATTAGAATTTTTCTATGAACTATTTAATGGAGAAAAGAAGAAAAAAAGAATAATAGGGTTAATCTTGCACTATTTTTGACAACACAAGGCACACGCTACAAGTTGACGTGTTCTTCCTTACGAATTGTGATTGGGATCAAATTATAATATATCTATGTTTGTGGAAAATTATTGGAGTTGTATAGTACTAGAGTAGTACGATATTAGTTGAAACCGTTCATATATCTCTATCAAATATCTAACAGTTAAGAGAGTAAATAAAAGTAAAAGAAATGCCATTTTCGTATCTTTTAAAGGATCCGATGCCAAAAAAATATTAATTATTTATATATTTTAACATTTCGTTGTAGCGGGAATGTACTTTTTTAACAGCTTGAAACTTAAGACTCATATAACGGTAACAAGAGGGTAACACCTTTTTTAAAATCTATATTAAATTAGTGACCAACAAGATTCAAACCGCGATTGGCTCTAATAACTTATGAAAATCTCTCTAACTAATATATCAAACCTTTAAAGTTATGATATAGCTTGACGGTTATAGTTTTATACCAATAGCTATTATACGTGCATATAATTGAGTACAGATATATCTCACCTAGCTTTGGAAGCTACCGAGCGCGAGAGAGAGCCGCAAAGGACGCCAATCTTCTTCATGGGACCACTAAGTATTGCAACCTCTCATCTATTTTTTTTGTAATGCTTATAAAATTGTCAAACCTCTCATTTATTTTTGCATGTTTCTCTTATTAGTCATCTCATTTCACTTATAACAAACATACAAAACCCATGTCAGTTAGATTAGGATAATGAAATATCTCTATCAGATTTTGGCATCAGTGACAAGGACTTCAAGAGAGCATAAATCTATTTGTATAGTCCTATCAATTTTTAAGAAAGTTCACAAAGTTCAGTAACTATTCTTTTTTTTTGCCCCCAGTTGAAACTTGAAAAAAGAGTTTAATATTTTCAAATATTATATGTCATTGTGTCTTTTCTTGTGAATAAACTAAGTCATTAGATAGGTGAGTAGCTGGTACGGCAAAGAAAGAAGCCAAGTTGGATTCTAAAAAACATTTTGAACCCCAAAAAAGAATTGACAGGTAACGTGCTGGTTATAGTTGCGGACCTTGCGGTTCTTATCTCCTTCTTCGTGAACTACTTACATTGACTTGAAATTTCTGCTGTAACTGCTGCAAGTGGACTTGTAATTAAGGGGGAAAACTTATTAATTTGGCAAAGCAAGCATTAAGAAGTGCTTGACGAAATTAAGTAGCTGAAATGTGAAGCATCAAATAGACTTGTCAGCATATCATTATTGGCATATATAATGGTTTACAACACATATGTTGATAAGCGGGATATCTACAAAACCTAATCTATAGATGTATCTGTATCCGCGCTCCTTTAAGATATGACAATGAGAAATAAATACATATATCTTGTAGGATGCACACCCATACATATATAATTGAATGTTCAGTATTCGCATCTGAAGATGCAAGTACGTGTACTAATCATACAGTTGAAATATGTTTAACATTTAGATCAAATGATATGATATAGACACCTAATCTTAGCTTTACAGATCCTGACTCACTCCATATCCACTATTAAATGCACTCTCACTATAAATAGAATGAAATTATTTTTCGTACTTCTCAAAA